GGTGCTATTCTGATCTCACTTTTGAAATTCCACTTAAGTTGATAAAAACCAGTTTTCATCCCAGGCATGAAAAAAAATGAATGCAGATCATTATTAACATAAACAGGGAAATCAAAGCTAGGATGGGAGACCAAAAGAGCTAGACTGATATGCAAAACAGCACAAGACATTTAGAGCCACATAATTTGCAGCCCCTCCATAATAACGCCTGGATTCCCATTCAACCTTGGGTAAGATGGGGTGGTACATGATGACATCACAATGCAAAGTCCTCTTCTTGGGTCTGTCTGTTTGTGACATCATATGTCTGTAAGGTTTACAGCTTGCATCATAGCACCTGTTTCACCTGACAAAATCTTCGGACTTTGGGTATGGATGATTTAACTCTTCTTAAAGCAGTATTGTTCAAACTTGACAACTTCAATATTGTTCTGACCCAACCTGTTACCAGCAAGAAAATCTCAAACAAACGCAGCAACTCAAATCTTCACAGCTTTAATCTACAAATAACTTCTTTGTAGATAAAAGATGGCTTGCAGCCAATTAGTCCAACCAGAAAAGCCTGACCGAATTCTTCAGATAAGCTGGAGTCTCTACACACAATGCTGGGTCCTTAGAGCGTTTTCACCTTTTGCAAAGGCAAAAACCTTTTGAAACCAGGCTTATATTCCCTGAAGGGAGAGGCCATTACATTGCATCCTTTCTCCCGAGTCACCTGTGCTGCTCCAGCTGTTCTATTCTATGAAAAATCCTGCACTCACACGCACTTGGTACAGGCTCCTCGGGAACTTCCTCATCACTGCCAAGAGGCCAGAATTGGATTACATGACTAAGGGGATGTTGCAATGGTCATTAAGTGTGAAAAAGGCCTTAAGTCATCTTTTTCAGTGCGGTTGAATGGTCATTAAATGAATGGTTTTAAGTCAAGGACTATCTGTAGTTCCTTCCTCATTTGACTGTCAGATATCCTGATTGGAAGTCATTTCTCTTGGCATGGTGCTTGTGAGGTCTGGATGAACCCTTTACATTAAAAAAATTAAGAGTAGCTTCTGGCTCGTGTTTGGTGGCATCGCCCAGTGACAAATTACAAAGTGACATTTATGCAGCCCTAGTTTGTAATGGAAGGTAAGAAAATATTCTGCTATCATTACAGTATAAATTGATTGAATGTGGGTAACAAGCCAGGTGCTGAATCATCAGGGTGGATTAATCAGAAGTTTGGAAACAGATTACAGTTTTTCATTCTGCTCCTTTGATGAGCTTGACAATCTGCCTTTTCTTGGTAGATACCAGTCTAATTTAATTATACTGATGGCTATCCAACGTTTCAATAAGGCTTACAATATTAGCGTCCTAAAAATAGCCCCCCAAATATATTTTGTTACATTTATAAAAGGATTTCCAAAGGACACAGCAAAAGTCTAAGTAATGAATTTATACTGACCTATTCGTGAAATGTTCTATGCTGCTTTTCAGCAAAGACTGCAAAGCAGCAGATGGAATTAAGAGACTAACATAAAAAAATAAATGCATTGTCAATCGATCACAAAATTGAGTAAGCAGAACCAAAAACTAGCAAAAGATGCAGATCAATTACCAGATTAAAATCAGATAATGGACAGGCTAGAATATCTTCAACACTAAATCAATCAACTAAATTTGCCTGGTGCTGGAAAGTCAGCATATTTGAGGTTAGGGTTAGTTCAAAATGATATTTCACATATGGATTATCAGTTTTATAACACCTTAGAAGAGTTTCCATGGTGAAGACAAAGGCTTAGTTCATATTCATATTAGTTCATCCCTATACCATGATGATTTGACACTGCATCCACGATGGCTTGGTTTTATTCACGGACTAGATTAATATAATTGTATAGACAATATAAACTATGATTAAATTACTGGCTTAGCCTTATGTGATTATTACCAACACTCAGACAAGACTTGTGTAGGAGATTGTGCTCTTTCAAAAACTAGGTTTCATAATAAAGAGAAACAACATGCAGTACTGGGCCTGAAAATGTCGGATGGAATGTAGCTATTTAATGTGAAGTAAGATTCAATGACTATATCCAGTCTCACTTGGCAATTTGTATGCCTATTGACAATAATATCTGTATAGGATGTTAACAGAAGATTCTGAAATCTGCTAAGGAACTTTTACACATATAACAGCAGTATTCAGTTGTGTGCCTTCTAATGACAAAATTACTATAGATTATGTTGGTTGTGTGAATCAGGAGTAAATTGGAAATACAAATGAGATGGAGTATATGTAATTATACCAACGTTACAGTATACTTTGCTGTTGTTTTCTAGCTTTAAGAACTAATGGTTCTCCCATAGCCATCTGTTGAATTGGAGCAATTGCAATTTAATTTCTGTTTACTAGCACCTTGTGAAAGTCAGACAGGATTTGGATTAGGGGCCTAAAACTATTAAAATCATGTAGTCTGATACTACAGTATGAATATGAATTATTTTATCTGTCAAACATCTAGTGTTGTCATTCTCATGTCTTGCAGGCCAAACACTACTAACTTATTTTTTAAAGTATCATGTGTACAGATGAGAATGCTTGGAAGAAACTGTATCTAAGAAACCTCAAAAACCTCCTGTCAGTAGAGGCAGACACCACAAACCATCCATAATCCATCAATAATCTCTCACCTTGGATTTTCAGCCACATTAACCTCTAGGGTTAACCATTATAAATGGGAGAAAATCCATTTGTGTTACAGCCTATTTGGTCCTCACTTAGCCTCCCTTGCATTCTCCCCGACAAACGTTCAGTTGAAATACTTCCTGAACTACCCCACCAAAACAAGTTATTGCAGTCAGTCAAGTCCTCCTTCATGACAGCTTGAGTGTTGAATTTATATAATTTGTACAGTATTTTATTGACACAATTGAGGGAAAAAAGGGAAAGAAAATATTCAATGTGGATAGACAGGATTAAAAAAAGTAATAAAGTAGCCTTTAACAAACTATATGCTACTATGGGAAACAGGCCAAATGTCTATGTGGTCACCTGGATTTGAATTTGATGCCTATTTGACTTTCTCTTTAGAATTTTACAAATGTATGTTCCTTGCCCTGGTTGTTATTACTGTTATGCAAATTTTCAAAAGAAAGCTCTTAAAAATGGGGAAATAGGAGGAGAGAATATTACAGATATTCACTGCCTTGAATTATTTAGAAAATAAAATAAAGGCAGAATAAAAATTAAAAACCCTGTAAATTGTTGATGTCAACTTGTATCCAACAGTCAATGTCCATCCAATAACTAGAACCAAAATGTTTGCAAAGAATGCAGATTTCTCTTTTTAAAAAAGTTATGCGCAACCGGAAATCCCAAACTGAATTATCTCCCAATTAGAAAAGCCAGAATTATTTAATCTGTAAAAGGCAACTGCACTCCATAGATTTAAATATGTTTGGTGATCAGGATTTCGGCATACATGGGTAAAACATTCACACACCAGTTTGCTGCTTTGGACAACTCGCTAAAACGCTAACCCAGTATTAAAATTTCAGTTGATCTTCACAGAAAAAGGCATTTACTGGCATGTGAAACCTAGATTAAGAATAAAAGCATTCTATCAGAAAATGATACAAAACGAGCAGTCTTTTATTCCAAATGTATTTAAATTCAGGGTATACCAAGTATTTCATAATTATGTACAAAAGTCCAGGTGAGAATTTCATCTATCTCTAAAGGGTGAATCAATTTATAACCCAGTATGTATCTAAACCAGGGGTCTCCAACCTTGGTAACTTTAAGCCTGGAGGACTTCAACTCCCAGAATTCCCCAGCCAGCAAAGCTGGCTGGGGAATTCTGGGACTTGAAGTCCTCCAGGCTTAAAGTTGCCAAGGTTGGAGACCCCTGATCTAAACCCATGCAACCAGATGAATCATGGTTCAGTTACTCATGTTTTAACATGCTCTATGAACATGAATGTTTATGCTGAACAGATTATTCAGAGTGATTAATCCATGTCACCAACTCCTTCTCCATAATTATGGTATTAGATGCAGTCTAGTTTTCCTAATTATTTGCTGCCATTTCATTGTTCAATTTCTCATGATTTACCTTTGCAGAAAAACACAATATCAACCCAACCAAATGAGAGTCAGTGGCAGGTAAAAGATGCCCCTATCTTTACACACGGAGAAAATACATTTGGGCTGGGGGAGAGAGTAGGGGGAGGCAGTAATGATTATATTTTCCCTGAAGGACAAATATTTCTAGAAATAGTTCCTTATAAAGAAGTAACATTTCACAATACTAACTTTTCAGAAATGATGAAAAAGAAAATCCAGCTTTCCCTGTTTTAAGCTTCCTCAAAGTCAGAGAACCAGAGAAATCTTGCTTAGGGTGATCGCATTCAGACTAATCAATGTTTTCCCAGCAACGTCACTCCTACACTACCCACACCGAATGCTTTCCCAGCCAAAACAGATTCAGAATGACTTGGGAGATTCAATGTTATGGGAATGGGGAACTTTGATTTCTCCACAGCTAAGAAACAATCAGGTATATTTAACTGGGAGCTTGTTATTAGAAGAGCTTATAATTGAATAAAACTGTATTAGCTGTGGCCAATCCATGAGTGACTTGTGGCCAGTCACATTCTCTCAGTCAAACCTATCTCACAGAATTGAAGTTTGAAAAAAGTAAAGTGATATGGACACTACCTCCAGAGTCTACCGTAGAAGAAAGCCACAACACAGATTTAACACGTAAATAAACTGAACAAATTGCAGAGCTGATATGTTTGACACCCGCCCCCTAAGTAATAAAGGCTGCCTTTATAAGGAACCACTTCTGGTAATGGGTTCCTACTGGTCCTTCAGGGAAAATATAATCATTATGGCCTCTTTCTTTTTTCCAACGCATTCTCTCAGTGTGTAAAGGTAAGGATATCTTTTGTCTGTCTGATGTGTTGAGTATCTAATGCCCCTCAGTTCAGATTGGTCCTTGATTTGTTTTGCGAAGTTGCATACACGTTGCATGGAATTTGAGGCAATGTAAAGGTCCTTTCACTACGAGTTAGGGAAGAAAAAAAAGTAATCAAACAAGGCGAACAAGGTTCCCACCAGCGTATGAGCAGTCTGCTTTTACCCATCAGCCTCTGAGTCACTCTCTTCAGTTTTCTGCGGTAGCCTTTTAATGCTAATGATTAAATCAACACTAAGCAACTGAGCTGCACACTGAAGCACAGAAGCTACTAAGTGGTATTTACAAGAAATTGATTCTAGAAGCCTTTGATTTGGCAGAAGCTGCTGATTGCTTTTGAGGGCATTGGTAACTTGAAGACAAAGCTGAGGAAAGGCATTCTTTTTCTGTGTCATGCAGAGTGCTTTTGGAATACTTAGCAATACATCAGCAAGAACAGAACAAATGATGGATGTATTTGATGACTGGCATTGTTTTGCATAGTTAGATAGATAGTAATGTAACAGGATTTCAAAGAGCCCTCCTACTGGCAGAACTGATCCCAGCTCTATGCAAGAGTCAGAGTAATTCTGATTACCCCTTTGATCGTTCTCCTCATATTTAAGCAGCCTGGCACAAGTGGCAGTACTAATTTGCAGCTGTACATTTTTATCGACTGTATTAAAAGCAGGCTGATTATCTTCAAGAAGTTCATTCTCAGTCATTTGCAACTTTTCTTTTTGAAATCTGGGTTTTAAAGAAGCTGTTTGACAGCCAACTAAGTCATCATCCTTTTTCTGGAATAATGAGCTCTTACTACCATGCATCAAATCAACAGAAGGCATGACTATGGTTGAAGAATTGTAACTGGATGAATGCAGTAAATTTTCATCTACGATAGAAAAAGATGCAGAGTGTTTCTCCATGTTAAGCCCACAAGGTGTAAGATGCTTGATGTTGGTTTGAAGTTTTCTCCAATCATTGTGTTCCTGAAATAACAGCTGACGGGGAGATGAATGTTGCTGAGTTTTATTCAGAAGAGGATGATTTTCCAATTCTGAGGCACAGTTCTGAGGCAGATGAATTGCTGTAAACATTTGTTGTAGCATTTTGAATGCTTCACGAAAAGCAGAAGCGTGTTGCTCCGTAACTCCATGTACTGGTCCACAGAGAATCACGCAATAAAGCTGAATGGTAGAGGTTTTCGCAAAGCCAATGTGAACAAACCTTTTGGTTCCAAGGTGGAAGGGCTGGCAAAATTTGGCTACAGCTGTTTGAGTGATTTCACGGTTAACATTATCCAAAGATGGTTTGAAAGTTGAAATTCCAGTAATCTTGCAAATAAGAGAGATTTCCTCTGTTAACAAGCAATCTACAATAGATATGCCATTATTTTTGGCAAAGTGATGAACAATGTCATGCTGTTTTACACCAGATAGTATTACTTTGATGTCATTGTCTTGCATGTGCTGTAAAAGTGTTTCGGTTCTTTTTGTAATCCAGGTTTCTGATGCCTTGAATTGACCCTTAGCAGTTATGACAACTTCTATACCCAACTCAGATACAGAGGAGTGAATAGGTTCTGTTATTATTATACATCTTTTATCACCATCTGCAGGACAGTATATGGCAAAGTCTCTGTGAAGTAATAAGCCATCTAGGATCCTGGAATCTGAAAAAGGAAGGCCTGTCACAGTGGTATGCAGTTCTGCAAAACATTCATTCACCAAGCATAATGCCTCAGTCTGGTTTTTACCCGCTGTAACTTTGAAGTAGAAATCACATGTCAAATGAGTTAGGAACATTTGTCTGTTACTTCCTACTTTCCCACAAAAATAAGGTTCTAACACTAACTCCATATTCCGTCTTATATCTGAATCAGAACCAGAAAAGATTGACCAAAAATGTTTCTTAAGGTCCTGTGTCATTATATAGTCCAGGATGTTTGTTTGGATCTTCACAAGAAACTGGGAAATGTGTTTCAAACTGCAATATTTCCCTTGATCTCTTTTATGAAGTTTTTCAAACTGTTGTAGTAAATCAGAGAGTAGAATGATAAAGGTTTTAGCGCCATCTCCAAACAAATTGCAGTGTGTAGAAATGCATGCTATCATAATTCTGTCAAAACCAAAGAAGAAACCAATTGTTAACTTTAAAAAACTGTTTATTTCAAACATCTGAAGTATCTTAACACTCTCCAATTTCTGCCCAAAAGACAGTTCTTGACAAGACCCACGTATATCTATAAAAGACTGCTAAACACAATCATCTTGTTTACATATGAATCTTCATGCTATCATTTCATGCACAAGCTGAAATGAATCATTTTAAGCATATACGCCTTTGAAAAGATTGATTTGTTTGGAACTAGCAGAGGCTATGCAGAAAAACAGATCTTGGGGAGTTGTTGAATAATTAAGTAAGAATTTAAATATAAGATTTTATTCAAGACAGCAGGGGGGGGATTGGGAAAGCAGGGAATCAAATATTTGGCAACAATCATTAGCATTTCTGGACAGCATGATTTCCTAGATTGCTTTAGTTTACCAATATATGCAGCCCAAAGTCTGTTCTGATTGGAAAAAATAATAGCAACAATGCCAATACTGCAAAATCCTCAATCAAATATATAATGTACAAAGAGGGTCTTCGTGTTCCAGTTGCAGGCAGTTTCAGGTCTTTGAATAACTTCAAAGATGCTAGTGTGGTAAATTCAGTTTTTTTTTTACTATAATACATTAATGTTATTCATATTTGAATGCTATCTAAAGTCCCATGGAATTAAGCAACTATAAATTATATTAAGAAAATAAATAAACAATATTATATAGTTTGACACTTTTTAAAGAAAATATTTTCTATATTAGCCCAGAGCCGTTTGATAGAAAGCATATAAATTTAATAAATAAATACATACCCACATACATTTGGAGTCTTTTGCTTTAGTTAAAGAAGATGACTAAGAAAAAATAGCAAGTGCTTATAAAGCGTGAAATCATAGGTAATAGCTACACCTAGGATTAAGCTTCCTCCATGAGACAGGAAGAAGTCAACTTCTGCCTTATAAGTAGAGATGTTGAAATTACTTTCGTGTCAGCTCAATCTGTAGAGCTGGGTCATATGTGACAACAATGTCCAATTCATATTGGGATACATTTTTGCTAATCTCGAAGGAGGCAAATACCATCTGTAAAACATCTTATAGGCATTTTCTTTATATGCCGCCGATTTCGTTAATTTATAATTTCTATTCCACATACTTTCCCATTCTTTCAAATTTATGTTGTGTCCGATATTTTGGGCCCAGGCTATCATGCATCTTTTAACAATCTCTTCTTCCAAGTCTACTTCCAGCAAATATTTATAGATTTTTGTAATTTTTTTTTTTTATCTTGGCCTAGTAAAAATTTATCCAGTTGTTGTGGTTTCAAATATATTCCAAAATCTTTTATGTCTTGTTTGTACCTGTTCTGTAGATGAAGAAATGACCACCAATCAATCTGTATTCCTTGTTTTTGATAATCCTGCATCAATTTCAAATTTTCTTGTGTATCTAATATATCTTTATATTTTATCATCTTACTCAAATCTAAGTTATTTGGGAGAATCATTGCTTCCATCGTAGATAGCCAAATTGGGATTTTTATATAATGTATTTTCTTAATTTTAATCCAATTTTGTAATAAAGAGTTCCTAATTAAATGTCTATGAAAATATTGTTGTT